TCTACTGACTTCCTCTTCTAGGGGTTAGCACTAAGATCCTCTTCCGCATCACCTACAGGGTACCGAAGCTCAGGAAACCCATCAAGAATGAACAGAAGCTTCTCTGAATACATAATAATAACATCCAGGATTAGTCCATCCACATCTTGAAAATTATTAGTGATCAGGTAAGCAATATGGCTTATTTATCTGCAGTTTATGTATATGAGATATTTAAACCTGCCTGGAATAATCATTCCTGTTGCCCAGTCAAACATGAACTTGTGTACCACAGCTGTTTTACCAAACCCAGCACATCCCTGAAGTACCACAGTTTAGGATGAGCTGGAACATTCTTCATCAGGATCAAATACATGTTCCATTTCAATGAAATTATCTTGTTGAGGAATTCTGCATGGTATCTTTTCTGATATTATCATGTTTTTTCACAAGCAGTCAGGACTTTATATGCTTGTCATGGTGATAACATTTATCGAGTCCTATTTTGGGGTATTTTTTTTCAAATGTTTTCTAAATACTTCCTGGTAATCTAATGAGGTGACACCATAATACTTGACAATAATACAAAAAAAACTATAACTAATACCATCATCACCACTATCTCCACTGGAATGTCTCAAAGGCTCCTCAAACTTTACCTCTAAACCCAAGTTTTTTTAAAAATATATTTTTTAATTGATTTCAGAGAGGAAAGGAGAAGAAGAGAGAGAGAGAGATAGAAACATCGATGATGAGAGGGAATCATTGATCAGCTGCCTCCTGCATGGTCTCTACTGGGAATTGAGCCCACAACCTGGGCATGTGCCCTTGACTGGAATCAAACCCAGGACCCTTCTATCCACTGAGCCAAACCAGCTTGGGCTAAACCCAAGTTCTTGATTTCTATGATGCTGCCCCCCCTCCAAAAAATACCCTCCCCAGGAATCTCATCTCAGTGAAATTGTATTACCCAGTTGCTCAGAAAAATGTTAGGAGTCATTCTTTTTTTCCCCCCTTGAATCCTCCACATCCAGTCAGTTAGCAAGGCCTATCATTTACACTTCTAAAATAAGCCTCCAATCCATTTATTTGTCACTACATCCTCAAATACTACCCAAGTACAATGCACTATCAACTCTTTCATGAGTGAAGTAGCCTCCTGATTATATACTCTTGCCTATCTATGGCTCCTCTCCACGCAGCAGCCAATACGATCTTCTAAAAATATCAATTACATCATGTCACTGCCCTTCCCAAAACCTTTCAAGACCTTTACATTGCACTTGGTATAAAATCAAAAATCTTTAACTTCTCCTACAAGGTGTGCCATGATCTGGACCCTACCAACATCCCCTCCCCAGCCTCACTTTATATCACTCTCCTTCTCAGTACCTACCCTAAAACCACACTGGCGTACTTTTAGTTTTTCACAAATGCCATCTTCTTTCCCACTTCAGGCCCTTTCCACCAGCTATTCTTGTTCCCTGAAACACTTCCTCCTGCTTTTCCCATGAGAGTTCATTCTCATCCTTCAGAACTCAATGTAAATATCACTTCCTAGAAGAGGACTTGCCTGACCACCCAATCTTTTAAAAATTAAAAAAAAAACCTTTATTGTTGACAGTATCACATATGTCCCCCTTTTTCCCCATTAACCCCCTCCAGCCCTCTCCCGTCCCCGCCCCAGGCTTTTACCACCTAATTGTCCATGTTGACCACCCAATTTAAAGCAGATTCTCTCTACTATTCTCTTTCCATTTATCACAATTTATAATTGTCTTCTTTATTTTTTCATCATCTGTCTTTTCCACTAAACAACAATCTACATAAAGCAGGGACCTTACTGTCTTCTTCACCATAGTACCCCTGAGTACCTAGCATGGTACTTTGCACATAGTTGACAATCAATAAATATTTATTGAATATGGCTATAAATGCTTTCAAGTTAAAGACAAGTCATTTAGCCCTGGCTGTGTGCCTCAGTTGGTTGGAGTGTCATCCCCTGCACCAAAAGTCTGCAGGTTCAATTCCTAGTCAGGGCACATACCTATGTGGCAGGTTCGATCTCCAGTCCGGGTTTGTAGAGGAAGCAACTGATAGATCTATTTCTCTCTCTCCCTTCCTCTCTTTCTAAAATCAAACATATCCTCAGGTGAGGATAAAAAAAAACACAAGTAATTTACTACTGCCTATTCTATTACATACATTTCTGATCTAGTCCTCACAATAATTCTGTAAAGTACATTTTATGGTTGAGGAAATCTAAATTTATAGCCAGAGTTATAAGTTCTTGGGTGTGCAATCTGTGCACAGATCTCATGCTCAGAAGGGCCCATGCTTGATGTAATGCTCTGATGTTGCTATCTTGAAATTCTTAATAATTTTTAACAGGGGTCCCTGCTTTTCCATTTTGTACCATACCCCATAAATTATGTGCCAGTCCTGCTTACAGTATTAGGTAACTTGTCCAAGGTTCAACAGCTAGTAAGTGGTAGAGACTTAAGATTCAGATTTGTCTGAATCCAAAGTCTATGTGTTTAAATACTATACTACATAGCTTTTCACCTTCTACAACCAGAAAAGAACAATCCAAGGAGTCGGTGATTAAGTTCAGATTTCTGGTAAGTGAATGTCTTAAGCTAGCATTTCCCAAATAAGTGTTCCTTGGAACACAATTTTGCAAGATATTAATAGGAGAGCTGAAAAACTGTGTCCTGTGGTCAAATGAGTTATCCCCTTTTATTAGAGTTTTTCAGTGCATATTAGCATATGAAAGGCTCTGAGATGATCTACAGTTAAAAAAGAAAAAGGCTGTTTAATTTTAATTAATCTGGCATTTTCTGCTCTTAAATGATTACAGAACCCATTTGTAAAAGCACAGTTTCTAACTCCTGGAGAACAGTGTTCAGTAGAACTCAGTTTAGAGAATACTGATCTAGATGTGTTGGCAAACGTTTTCTGTGAAATTCCATAAATAGTTTAGGCTTTTTGGTCTCTGATGCAATTTACTCAACTGCCATCTTAGTGCGAAAGCAGCCATACACAATGTGTAAATGACTGAGCATGGCTGGCTCCAGTAAAACTTACTTTACAAAAAGGCAACTGGCTTGATTTAGCCCACTAGCTATATATAATGTGTTGACCTTAATTTAGATTATTCCAGAAGCAGACCGGTGAATTCTGGCCATAAAATTCCATACAACTGGTGCTTGACTACCATCAGTAGTCCTCCCAGTACTCAAATAACTATGTTATATGATATAAAAGTTCACCCTAACCAGTTTGGCTCAGTGGATACAGCATCGGCCTGCAGACCAAAGGGTCCTGGGTTCAATTCTAGTCAAGAGCACGTACCTTGGTTGCAGGTTCCTCCCTGGCCCAGGACCTGGCTGGGGTTCCTGCAGGAGGCAACCAATCAATGTGTTTCTTTCACATCGATGTTTCTCTCTGTCTTTCACTCTCCCTTCCACTCTCCCTAAAAATCAATGGAAAAATATCCTTTGTTGGTGAAGAACATAAATCAATCAATCAATCAATAAATAAATAAATAAATCCTACCTGTTATGAAAGTTTGGGACTTCATCTTACCAAAAAAGATCAATGATTTTTGCCTAATGAATATGGGGGGACAAAATGGGAGAAGGGTGGGTATGAGCAGCCGGTTCATGAAAGGTACTAGTCCCAAGACAGAAAAAAATATTAAAACAGATAAGACATCTACCTGTAAGCTTCTTCCATGAAAATTAAGCCAAAGAATTTGAAGCAGCTGTGGGAGACAATATGGGGGTTAAGAGTAGCACAAATACATCTTAATGCCAACACATGAAATATAAAGAAATTTAGCCACACTGGAACAGCCATTCATACTGTTCCCCAAACACAGATACAACTAAGAAAGTAAGTCACCTCACATCTATTCTAACTTACAAAGGTATTTTATAGCTAATGTCCAACATACAGTAAAATGTAAGAACTTCCCACTTAGATATATTTAGGGTACAAACATTTAAAGTTATATGATCAATAAGGAAAATTTCAGGTATTAAAGGGGCATATATTATTTGAAGTGACTATAGGGTGTCCCAAAAATGTATCACACACTTTGAATAATTATAAAGACAGTGTTTATTAAAATACATTTCATTTGCAAAATTGAGCTATCAGCTATTAAAGCGTGTACACATTTTGGGGGGCACAATGTAGTTCTGGTATTCTACTTTCCACTGAATGTTAGCCTACTGCTTCTGTTGGAGCTTTGGTTGCGACTGACTTAATGTGAAAGAATAAGGCATTGCTGATGTTAGTTTGACAGATATATACAATGACCTACATTCAACTTAATTGTACCCACATACTCAATCCAAACACATGTAAAGGTATACAGATAAAAATGCACAAGCACATGCACACATACTCATATTCCTATAGCCTTTAGTACTTGGCAAACATTTAAAAGCAAGATTGAAACATGTAGTTGGCAGAAGGTGTGACTAGGTGGATGGGAGAAAGCAAAGTCTGAAGAGGCAGATATTAGAATATAACAGAAATGGGCAGGCAGGTAAGTGGTATGTTGAAGACAACCAGTTTCTATTCTCATAACTAAACATTCCTTGGAATTCAGGAATTGGCCACATGGGCAAGGACTTCAAGTAATCTTCACTCTTTGTTCTGTCTCCTATAAAAATCTGTGGTTATAGTAAAGGGAGAGACTTAAGAGTCTTTTATAATTATAAATGTTTTGGGGATTATGGAAAACAGTAGAAACCACAATTGCCTCTTCTCCTGGTGTTTTTTTTTTCTTTTCACATTTGGGAAAACACAAAATTGTGGAGACGTTCTCAAGAGATTATTAATGGCTAAATACTGTATCCATATAATGTCTTAATATGCACGCACCTATACACTTGTGACACTATTTTAAATATTCAGAAAAATCCCAAAGTCTATGAGGAGGAGTAGAGGAAAGAGAATGAACAGGATTATCTAAATTGTATCTTTTCTTACCTCATTCAGTTACTCACCTTCATGTTCAGATAATAATCTCCAGGTACAAGCAGATTCCATATCTTCTTTTCTTTTGACTGTTCATCCTAGCATATCATGAACACTGTAATCCAAAACAGAAATGATAACTATACGGCCTAGTGGAAGCCTGGAGTAAAAATATAACTTAAGGCACTACAGAATTGGGGAAGAGAGAAGGCCCAATAAGCAAGTAGATAGCTGGGGTGGAAATGGGGGGATCACATGAAGATAGACCAAAAGCAACAGTCTTCAATTTGAACAGAGAAAAAAAATAAAAGGATAGACTGTCTGCAAACTGTTACAGAGTACAAGTATTGGTAATGTCATATTGGGCTCTGAACTGGGTTACTAAGGGAAGTATAGGATTTATGGAGTATACCTCTAATGTTTGAGGACAGGATAAGAGAGAATGGATGTGTCTTTCCACAACATGTTTTTGGAGCCATTGGTAAAAAGAGAAGACCATAAATTGAAATACTGGTATAAGAGAAACAGTCTAGAGAGTTAAAAGACCTAGGCCCCGGTTCCATTTCTATAACATTCTACCTATGAACCTTGAGTAAGATTCTTCTACTTTCTGGGTCTGTTTTATTATTTTTTAAATGGCTGAGGAAATGTTAGCCCAGGGTTCTTTCCAGGTTGAACACTGTATGATTAGTGGTTCTCAGTCCTAGCCAGCCCATTAGAATAACCTTCACATCACCCACCAGAAGTGTTTTTTTTCTTTTTTGCAATATTACTTATCACTTTTTAACACATTTGATAATTTTATTATATTTATGGTTCTTTTTTGGTCTTTTCCACTTACATTGAAATAATGGCTCCAGTTCTCAGAATTTACCATGAACTTTGCACACACAAAAAGTGAAGCTTATTTTCCCATCTTTTGCCTTTGAGCTCAGCCTTGAGACTTGCTTTGGCTAATGGAGTGTCACAGATGTGACTTAAGCAGAGGCTTGAAATGAAATGTGCTTGGACATGTCCCCTCTCATGATTCTGCCACTGCCATGAGAGAAACAAGTCCCAGCTAGTTCACTGGTCTGAAGATGAGAATACATGAAACAGAGCCACCTCAGTTGACTCACAGTTCTACAGCAAGAAAAGTTGAGTAACTCTAGCCTGAATCAGAGTTACCCAACACACATAGCACTACATAATCAACTGAATCCCAACTGGCCTCCAGATCTGTGAGAATAAGTGCTTAATAAATTGTTAATTTTTCATACTATTGAGAGTTTGTAGTTGTTATGTATGATTGTGGCAATAGATATCTGATATATCTTACTAGAAAGTAAATGTCTAGAAAGTATTTGGCATAGAGAAGATATTCATTAAATGTTGATTGAATAAGATCAACCAAAGGACTTATATGCAAGCATATAGGCCTAACCAATGAACACGGACAACAGGGGGGTGAGGGCATGAGCAGGGGGGTAGGGGGTAACATGGGGATAAGAACACATATGTAATATCTTAATCAATAAAAATATATAAAAATAAAAATAAATAAAAAAGCATCTTAAAAAATGTTGATTGAATAAGTTGAAGGAATAAATAAAAGCTTTTTATTAAAAAATCCAATGCCTAGTCTATATCCTGATAAATTAAGTCAGAATCTTTGATGATGAGCTTTGGCATCAGTTTTTTTTTTAAACACCCCAGGTAATTCTAATATGCAGGTAGGAAAGAGAGCCACTATTCTAAGGTTGAACACACAGGCTTTGGAATCAAACTGACTACTTACTATGTTACAACCATGAAATTAAGGCCCCTAAGCCTCAGATTCCTCAATTGTTAAATAGGGATCACCTGCAAGGTTATTAAGAGGATTAAATGAGATAATGAATACAAAGTATTGGTATGCTATATGGTACACACTAAGAGCTCAATAATCCTAAACTATAGCTAATGCTGGTATTGCTATATCATTTGATATCGAGTAGAAATGTCTTTGAACTCAGGCCTTACTTCAATCCCATTTCCACTGCTTTCTAGCAATATGACCTTGAGTAAATTACTTAAACTCTCTGAGACTAAAGTAACCCACATGTAAAATATAGTGATAATAATAACTACTTCATTGGGAGAATTAATTAAGATGACATACATAAAACAGCACAAAACTAAGTGAAATATGGGGGTGGGGAAAAGCAGGTTTACCGTTATTTGTATGGAAATAATACAATTAATAAGTAATAATACAAGAATAAACTATGTTTCATGTACTCACAACTATAAACCTACTTTTGCCCATCCTTGTATAAATAATAAATTTTAGAGAAAAAATAAAATGGCATTTATTGTAATTGATATAAAGAAGTTACATTTCATTAAAATCTTCACATAACAACTTCATTCTTATGAGATGGAATGTTCTTTCCCAGCACAGTGTTATATGTTCCCATACTCTGGACTCTGCCCAATCACTAGGAATATCACATCTTCCAAAAAATAGAAACAATCCTGTAGTTACAAATTATTCCAGTAACCATTCCTACCCTGAGGTAATGGAGATGAAGGGGTGCATGGCTACTCACTCTCTTCCTGGGCACTCTCAACGATGCCCATTATTTCAATTATCTTTCGATTCCTAGTTGTTTATCCCAGTCTAGCCCTCTCCTCTGATATCCAAATTTATAGATCTAAAGGCCTATTCAGCATCTCCACATTGATGTTGACACCCCTCTTTTTCTTATTTCCTTTGGTAGCTATTGCTTGGTTTTTCCAGCATTCTTTCAGAGATCCCATCCCTCTGAATGGAATAATCAGATCCTCTGTGCCTAAATTTTAAACCTAAATGGAGAGCACAGAGACTGAGGTTCTGCTACCCAAAGGCCCCAAGCTTCCTTAGTCCCTGACCTCCTTGAGGCCTTGTTTGTTTAGCACTTCATTTGGTTTTGAGCAACTCCGGTGTCCTTCCAAAACTGTATGGTTTTTTTGCTTAAGTTACTAAGAATAATTTTCTGTGGCCGGCAATTAAAGAACTCTGACACAGAAATTACACAGGAGAGTGAATTATAATCAACAGACCTTTAGAGCAGTGGTTCTCAACCTTGGCTGCACATTAGAATCACCTGGGAATCTTTTTAAAATCCTG